CCACATGCATCCTCTCTCCAAACTTTTTCACCCCTCGTTTACATCCCATGCAAACCTGTTCCAAAATTTAGCATCCACGAACCCATACAAACACTTAATCTCCCCACCCAACGGTCTTACCTTAATGTTATTGGCGATCTAAATTGGTTTACCACCATGAAAGATGAAAACATTGTACTTATTATGGTACATGTGAACTTGATACTAGAGGTGAATATAATCCACTCCATATGGCTTTTTTAAATAAATCTATCATGGATTGATCTTTTGCTTGTTATAAAGCCTATCTTGTAGCCAATGAAAAACGTTAATGACCATGTATTATTTTTCACAAAATTTTTATCCCGGTTTAAAGTCGACTACTATCTACTATCTGTTATCTATTATATGTATAATTTTCATCGTTTTCGTTTCTTTCCATCAGGGTGTTCACCAATTAGATGTCAGAATCATTTAAATGGATCTTAGTGAGATGGTTTACATGCACCAATCATGCATTTTTATTGATCGAAAAAAACTTGACTGTGTTTGTAACCCGACTTCTTTTTTTGTCCTATGCATAAGCCTTATATAGCCCTAAGCAACCTCCTTAGGCTTCGTTCCCTCAGTTTCCCGGTTAAATCTCATGCATTGCTTTTAGTTACAATAGGTGCGACTCTTTACTATTTATATACTTACATGGAAATCAATTGACTTTTTTCTTCTATACATTAATGATATTGTTCTTACGACATCCTTTCCAGATGTTCCTCATATTATCATTTAGTTTATGAGTGACGAGTTTTTCGTGATAAATCTAAGTACTTTCATCTACTTTTAATTTATAGGAACCTCGGCCTATCGCTCAACATGCATGCTGTTTTATCTTCTAATCAGTATGCCATTGACATCCTTGTTGTGCTTTCATGCACTGGTGGACCCAGAACTAAATGTCATGGGTAGTACATGTAAATTTAGGGGTAGCATGCTGAGAAAATTACACTATGCTGAAAATTTTCTCAAAAAAAGTTCCACTTTTTACCTAAAAATTTGAAGGGTAGCATGGGCTATCTCGGACTCCCACTAAAGTTTGCCCTTGCTTTTATGAGAAACTGCAAATCGACATCGATACCAGTTTACACTCATATCAATCACATGCCCAATGGCCCTTTTGTTCAAGATGTCTGGTTGTATCACAACCTTGTCAGGGCTCTTTAGTACTTGACCTTTACCCGATCTGATCTCTAGTATGTAGTCCAACATCTACTTGTTTATGCATAACCTGCATTAATACTATTTAAGGGACTTAAACCGGTCTTACGATACCTTCATGACACTTTAAAATTTGGTATAAAATTTTTTCCTTCCCACAAACAAAGAAGTTTTACTCTTACTTTGATGCTAACTAAAGGGATGCCCCACCACGGGACACTCCCTGTCTGGTTACGGTGTATATTTCGGTGATAACATCCTCTCTTGGTCTTCTAAACGGAAACCTTTTGTATCTTGCTCTAGTGTCACACCTAGTTCTAGTGATGTTCTAATTTTGGGACATCGGTCCGGAATTAGATCAAGTGATGGTTTTGGGCCTCGAAGGAATAGAATTAAGCCCTTTCGGATGTTGATAATGTTGGATTAATTTATTAAAGTGTTGGATTTGTGCCTTGAAGCAAAGGTAAAATTGGAAAGGTAATATGTCGGGCTTCTTGCATGAATTAAGGATTTTAGTTCAATATGTTTTTAGTCATAAGTAACTAGATAAGATTGTGGGGCTTGTCAATACATTTCTGTGCATATAAAGAACGCCGAAAACGGAGTTGAAATGAAGAAGTTATGGTTGTTTGAAGTTGAATTGGAAATCAGGAATTTTGCTCTACGTTGGGCGTAGGTGTTGAAGTCTAATCGCAAGTTTAATGAACTACGAAGGGCGTAGGTTATGCTACGCAGGGTGTAACCGTTGCAGACATAAACCTTAATCCTAAGGTTTTGAGCCATATTTAAGGCTCTAACTTCTTGGAATCCTTCCGATGACCAGCCTCCATCACCTTATATCGTTCCTTTGAAACCCTAGCCACTATTTTAGAGTTTTAGAGCTTTTAGAGGGTTTTGTGTGCTCTTTGAAGTAGAAGGTATTTGTAGAACCAATTGGGAGGCTTCAAGGTGTGTAGATCTGGGATTTTCAAGCTAACATCTATCTCTGGAAGGTATAAAGCTTTCATCTTGATGCTTGTACATGTTAGATCTAGTATGGTTGTGAGTTTTAAGCTTTTTGCCCTATAACCTTGGTCTCTATGAGTATGGGATACTCCAAACCATTTGAGTATCATTTCTAGACGTTTTTTGGGTTCTTAAGTCATAAAAATGAGAGTTTGGTCACTCTCATCCATCTATGCATGAGTTCTTGAGCAATAGATTACTTTATGGACCTAGGTTTTGGTTTTTTGCTCTTTGTGACCATGCAAATGGATAAAGTCAGATACTTTATCCATTAAGGCGTTCATTTAGATCATATCTGGGAGTTTGGGAGTTTGGTTGTTGTATTAAGAACTTAATAGAAGTTTTGGGAAACATGGGCTCTACATTACGCGTTGCTTCTGTATGCAGGGCGTAGCTCTACGCTGGGTGTAAGTTATGCTACGATTAGCGTAAGTCAACTGATGGTTGACCGTTGGCTTTTTGACCAGTTTGACTTTTGGTCAACCATGTTGGGACTTAGTATTGGAAGGGCAAAATGGTCTTTTGCCCAAAGAAGCTTTAATTGTGAGGCTAGACCTTTCGTGAGTTAGTTTTTACCTTAATTATTAATTAGGGTTTTATTATGTGTTTAGCATGAGGAGACTGGATATCGTCAGCTAGGGTGTGTGGTCAATCTTGTCTTCGGATTGAGGTGAGTTCTCTCATTATACTCATGGGTCGAAGGCACCAATGTCGGCCCACCAGATTGTGTTATGTATCATTGTGTATAGGATGTTGGTATGCGGTAGTGAATTGTTGTATTGGTAGATAAGTTCTGATTACCTGTGCTAGTTGATTATTTCTTCATGTGCATATGTCGACATCATGTGGTTGGGTTGAGACAGTCATACTTTGTGCTGAAGGCTAAGATACTCGGGCGGTCCAGTTACTGTAGGCCCAAGGGAGCGGTCCAACTTATGTTGTAGGCTCGGGAGCAGTCCAACTGAATGTTGAAGGCTCAGGTGGCGGTCCAACCCTATGTTGTAGGCCTTGTGTGCATGCATTGTATATGTATTGTTGTGTGAGGTATTTTGGAAGAACTCACTAAGCTTTGGCTTACAGTTGTTGATTTCAATGTTTTCAGGTACATCAAATGATCGGGGCAAGGCAAATGTATGATTGTACACATCATCCTGTTGATTTATATTTTGAGTGACTATTTATTACTCTGATTCTATGGATTGACTTGAAAACAATACTTGACTATCTTGTGTTTTTTTGTAAAAATGTTTTATAAAAATGAAAAAATTTATCATGGTTTTTGGGACGTTACATCTAGTATCGAAGTTGAGTATCATATCGTTGCCAACACGGTTACTGAAAATTGTTGGCTAAGAAATTATTTCGAGACTTTCTCTTTTCTAATTTTTAAACCCACAATTGTATATGGTGACAATGTGACAATTTTAGCACCATATACTTTTTTGTTAAATCATATTAAACACGAGCCGATGAAACACATTGAGTTTAACATCCACTTTGTGTCTTTGTCCAAGCCAATTAAAGTTGCCACATGTTGCTTGTTCTATCATCTTCTCCATATACGCTGAAAGCTTACCATTGCGACTCTTCGATCTTCATGGATCTTCATTCCAACTTAAAACGTTTGTTTTTTTAAGAATTGCATAAAACTAAAACGTTCGATTTGTCATACTGCTAGGAATATTATTAGTATATTCTAGGTTATTGGTAACCCCGTATGTATCCTTATATATATCAACCATTTGGCCCGATTTCTTATATATATACACTCATCTATGCTGTTAACGGAATCATCACGAATCAATCCAATGCTCTGCTACTCCTTCCTTGAAATTTGAACAAGTCAATTGATAGGAGCTTAATTTATTTTAACTAATTTATTTGACTATTAATAAAAATACCTTAATTATTTGTTAATAAAATTAAGAAAACATCCTGCATTAATATCAAGATCAATATCAAAGTACCCTACGATAACTGTTAGTGAGCATTGAGCAACGTTCCAAATTTTGGCTAAAATCTTTTAGAAAAAAAAAAGAACATCTTTATCTTTTATCTTTTAGACAATCCAAAATAAAAATTGTTATCTTGTCTTTTTGAAAAGGGAGATTAGTTTGTCTAGTAAATAAACAAAGTGAATGTCATAATATTTAGTTTAGCCATCGAAGTTTTGAAAATTACAAAACATTGCACAAGTTTTCTCTTAAGGTTATATGAACAAAGTTTGTATACTCTAATAATTAATGGTAATAACTAAAAAAATTGTGTAAAAACATTATTTAATTATTAAAATAGTAAAGATTCGATTTTGTATGTGATTTGAAAAGTTTACTATTAAATATATACAATTTTTTGTATTTTTCTATAATCTATATGGTTGGCCTTAAAAGAACTTTAAAGAATTAAAATTAAGACAATATAAAAGTTCATGGCCTAGTTATGTAATTAAAACAAAGGGGTACATTCGTAAATAAGACTAAAAACAGGCGCCATATTAAACCGACCTCCATTATTTTCAAGCTTCGGAGAAAGACGAAGAAGAAGAAAGAAAAATAGCCTCTCTCTCTCTCTCTCTCTCTCTCTAACACACAGTCACATAGTAAAAAAAACATCATTACAACGAAAGCTTTTGTTACTTGCTCACTCTCTCTATATATATCTTCTCTGGTTACATATATATACGTGTGGAAACCAATTTATGTGGCTCGTCGATCTTCCGGCATTTCTTGATAATTTCTCTTTTTAAACCCTAGCTCTTGTATCATTGTAATCAAAGTATAAATTAAATTCAAGTGTCTGGAATCATGGCGAATAGCAATCCTTCCGACGGCTCTGCTGACGACTTCTTCGAACAAATCCTAGGGTTCCCTGCTTATCCCGGAGGTGCAACCGACCCCAATTTGGCGGTAAACGAAGGAGGTATGGGTGGACCAGGTGGTAACTCCATGATGTTGCAGCTGAGCTCCGCCGGTGACGTCGGCTCCGGTCATCATCATCTAGGTGGTGGAGTTGGAGTTGGAGTTGGAGGTGGAGGTGCAGGCGGAGGGTTTCATTTTCCGTTAGGGTTGAGTTTAGAACATGGAAAAGGAGGGTTTTTGAAGATGGACGATGCTTCTGGAAGTGGTAAAAGGTTCCGCGACGACGTCGTTGATAGCCGAGTTTCCTCTTCGGTAAATTTACTGTTAATATACGTATAACAAGTTTTCACTTTCGATGAATCAGAAAGTTGTTTTTGTCAATTGGCATCAAATATTTTTTTTTCAAAAATTTTGTTCGATCATCTGCTTCCCCTGCCATTAATTCCTGTAGAATCATCTGAAAAAGTTGTCCTTTCGCTTACCGGAATATATGCATGTGGGATCCGTCATGTTTTGTCATTTTGTGTGATTATTAAATTACAATACAAAGAAAATGAAAATGAGAGAAACTTGTTGAATTTGGGTTTTCCAATTTTATAATCATAATATCATATGATGTTTGACATCTAATTTGACTTCATGTTAAAGACTTTATTTTTTTCTCCCGTAAATCAATGCCAAATTTGTTTAATTAATTGTTTAGGGTTTCCAAGGCCAGCCAATGGGTGGTGGTAACACGGTGCAAACGACTCCAAATCCACCAACTGCTCGTCCGACGAGGGTCAGAGCAAGGCGAGGCCAGGCCACAGACCCCCACAGTACTTGCTGAAAGGGTAAGTCTGTCCTTTTTTTTTTTTTTTTTTTTTTTTTTTGCATTTATTGTAATTGGCATCTTCCAAGAATTCAAAAAATCTGTTATATCTGAAACAGCTTCGTCGTGAAAGAATTGCAGAGAGAATCAGAGCATTACAAGAACTGGTTCCTAGTGTCAATAAGGTCAGTCTTGAATGAATATTTGTAAATTTGATTTTGGAATTTAAGGGTTAAACGGTCATTACTTTAATATGCAGACAGATAGAGCTGCAATGCTTGATGAGATTGTGGACTATGTCAAGTTCCTAAGGCTTCAAGTAAAGGTAAAAAGCAAAACCAATATCTTTATTTTCATCATTAATATTAATACTTACTTATATATATCATCATTATATTGTTTTTCTTGATTTATTTTTTGATTATTGTATTGTACGTTTTAAGGTATTGAGTATGAGTAGATTGGGAGGAGCGAGTGCTGTAGCACCACTCGTCACTGACATCCCTATATCATCGGTTGAGGTAACAATTCAATTTTATTTTATTTTTCACAAACACAAATTATATAGTTTGACTTTTCTAAAAGTCAAAGATGTGCGGTTTTGAACAGGAGGAAGCGGGGGAAGGGGGAAGAAACCAACCGGCATGGGAGAAATGGTCAAATGATGGGACGGAAAGACAAGTAGCAAAGCTAATGGAAGAAAATGTAGGGGCTGCAATGCAATTTCTTCAATCTAAGGCCCTTTGCATCATGCCTATTTCACTCGCATCTGCTATTTACCACACACAACCACCCGATTCAACCTCCATTATCAAACCCGAATCCGAACCCCCTTTATAAAAATCTAGACAGAATGACTTAAATCTGAACAGAACGGCTTAATCAACGTCATATTCATATGTACCTTTATCTTTCACCACCACTCAATCTCATCATGTTTTATAAGAATAATGGGAAGCCCACAAGATTCAAGGAGAGGTAAAAGTTGTCAAACCTTTGCTTGATATGTTGTGACTTTTTGTGTCAATTGGTGAGGGTAGTGGTGGATGACTAAGGAAAAAGGGGGATTAATACACTTTTGTTAGTGGGGGGAGGCTTTTAAGTTTTAAGTTTTATTTTATTTTTGGGGGGTAGTGGAATGTGGGGACATTCATATATATGTAAACTTGTTATGTTTTTATTTTATATCTCTCTCTCTATATATATATATTTCAATTATAGTTGTGATGTTTGTAAGTGGATAATGGTTGGTTGTCCCAAAAAGTTTCAGATGGTGAATAGTGTTGATGTGCAAAAGAGTGAGTGGGTTGGTATACAAAAAGTAGTATTGACTTTTTTAGTGCACTATTGTTGTTTCTTCAAGTGGTGTCATTGATTGGTTTTTCCATCCTCTTAGTGTGATTACCAAATGTTTTTATAATATAATCATGCATAACATATATTTTTTAAATTAAACATGTTTTTTTTTTTTCCTTTTAGGAAATCAGGACGATCATCAATTACCAATCAACCATAGACAATAAAGAGTCTTACATCTTGGTGATTAGATTACAGAGACTTTATTGGGGTCTACTTTGCTTTATTTTAGCATCCACCACCACCACCCTTTATATTTGACTTTTGAAATTATATGGAAAGGCTAATGTTCTTTAAACAATCTTGCACAACACGCTCTATGTTTCTAATCAACTGTTTCTAGGTCTTATAGCTCAGAATATTATCGATTCATCCAAAAAAAGTAAATGATATTTGACTTAAAATAAAGGCTTGTTTTGGTAAAAAAAAATGATAAATCCGTGTACAATAACATTGTACCTGCGAGTTTTCCATTCAACCACAAGAAAGTCATCAAAGAGCCAATCACTTTGTTGGTACCATCTTGGTTTATTAGATGATAGACAGACATAGACATAGGCATATGCATGATTTGATGGATAGATATCTCTATCCTACATTTCGTCTAAATAGACAACACCAAGATGCTTAGTTGCAATCATCGAATCATCTGTTTTGATCATGAAACAATATGTTTTGGGTTTGATTCTAAAGGTTAACAATCCATTATGTGGTCCATGCTATATAGCCGATTTTCACTACAGTTCTAACTAAGTTTAAAGATTCAAATGCTCCATTGGTGGGGAAGAAGCATCAAAGAACATAGGTCAGCATGACAAAGATCATCATATCATCCTATTCCTAAGTTATTATATGTGCAAGTCTCCACAAATAGGTGTGTTCGGACTATGTTTCCTATCAAACCCCCCAAATATGTGAAGACAAAAGATTCAACCAAAAATTAAACGGATAAGATCACTCTCTGTCTGAACTCTGAAGTATATTTATATGCATTAAATTAATGCATCTCGTCTCATTAGAAAGATTAGACTAAGAAATTAGTTATTTATAGAATTTTAAAACACCTTATGGAGGAATATAGAGAAAGAAATAGAGACATTCGTATGATGTGTATATGATGGTATGGTATACCATGGGGCTCAAGGATACACAGAATATTTATTGGAGGACAAACGAATGACGTGTGTATGATGTCAAATGATTCTAGGTTTTATTTCTCCCTTGTAACACACAGAATTTCTCTCTTGGATTCAATTACAAAATCATCACCTCAACTCTTTTATTTATACACTAGCTTAGCTTCCAGAAACTAACTCTCTCTTGTAATAGACTAGCAAAAATCAAAAGGTGAAAACAATACTTTTGTCAACAAACTCTTACAAAAATCAAATTGATTATAAATGGGAAAGAGAGTGGATTCAAAAATTTGGTGTCTTATGCTTTTCAAATAATGTCAACAACAGCTTTGACTCATGGATGCAGGTCAAACATTCAAAGCCAAAGAATTATTTTATCAAGTCCAACATTGAACATTTGGCAGATATATAATTTAATTGTTCAGCAGGCATCTAGGTCACGGCATGGAGGAGGCTTTGGCTCACCCAGCAATGTAGTATTCCCCCCTGCGGGCCCACAGTTGATACGCTCCGGGTTCTGGGTCCCATGCTGTCAAAAAACAAACAAATCAACATAAATAAACTAAAAGGGTAATAATGTAAATTGTGACTTACAGGTGGCTTTTCTCCTCGTTTTAACGCCTCAACGATTTCCACAACTCTCTTTGGTGTAACATCTTCCTGCAAAATTCCCAAGTTTTAATACTTCTCATTATACATTAAAATGACTAAAAGGGTAATAATGTAATTTATGATGCTCCCTCACGTAGTAGTTATAGGTATATCCTTTGGATCCAGTTGAATAGTCAGCCACAGTTATCATAGGAGCATTCACACAGCAACCCTATAATACACAAATTAAAAAAAAAAAAAATACAGATTCAAAAAACTAAAATTAAAAAACATTTATATACTCAAAACGTGACTCACCATGCATTCCATTTCTCCAACAGAAAACAACCCATCTTTTGTCACCTCTGCATAGATCCATCAATGTGTATTTGTAAAAATCACATAAACTGATTTTTTTAGTGGTGTATATACTTTATATAATAATACAAACCATTTCGTTTGACTCCCAAGTGCTTCAATAATGCATCTTCAATTTCACGTGAACCACGGATCATACAAGGAGTTGTTCCACAGACCAAAAGATGGTATTTGCCAACCTACAATTAAGCCATTAGTTTGAGAATTGAGATAGAAATTTTGTGTTTAATTTTGGTAAATTTACATGTGTGTCCTTCTTTCCTTACCTTTGCTCTGTTAAACATGGAATAAAATGTAGCAACTTCATACACACGGATAGGAGCAACTTCTACAACTTTAGCCACCTTCAAGTAATACAAAGAAGGATGTTGATGATGTTCATGTACAGATAATATGGAAAAAAGGATTGCATATTTAGATATAATGATGCAAACATAACATAACATAACATACCGCATCCATTGCTGAAACAGGAAGCCAACCACCATGTTGTTGTTGTGCAAGATCTAGCAGTGGAATGACTGCAGATTGCTTGTAGTTAGAGGGATAGTGAGATAAAATCTCATTTACCTGTATGAATGAAGAAGCAAATAATCCTTCATGAATTCATATGCTTGAAAACATCACATGAGATATGGTAACAGCTTCAAATAAGGCTGTTATAATGAATCTAAAGGGTACAAGAAAAGCAATGAATAGAATTAGAATGGGGAGAGAGACTTCACTTCACATCTGGTGGTCTTTACAGATAAAAATTTTTGCTGGAGATATGGAAGATAAAAAGAGCACTCTCAAGCTACAGACTTTTCAAAACCTTCGAAAGGAACTGTGTGATTGTGTTGTTTCTGATTTGAACTAATTGTTCATCAGAGGCCATTAGTTCAAGCGAGGTTTTGTTTAAAGTAATTGCTAAGTCAAAGTGTTTAGAAAAAAGGCATGGTCTTAAGGGTTTGTTAAGGTCTTTGGTTAGTTGAAGTCTTTATGTAGTGTAAGGCTATTTAAAGGCAGTTCTGTGTCTCAATATAGACTTTGATTGTTCAGTTCTTTCATTGCTCTTGATACTCTACATACACGAGTTGAAATACCAGACATTTCCACAGATTGTACTCATTAAACATATAAAGTTAAATTTAGCTGAGAAACCCTACAAATCATTCATGGGTAAGCCTCTGAACTATGAAACAGATTCCCAATTTCTAAATTGCTATCCAGTACCACATTCCTTCACAAAGTGCACACTCAGCTTTAGATTATACGAGGCACTCTATAAATCGTTAATGACTTTATTAGAAATAAAAGATGTTGATTTAAGGAGAAGATCAGTGCTAAACCTTTGGTTTGTTAGCCTCATTGAATTCCCAAGGAACGTTGGGGTTATTTTCAGGAGTATCAATATGCTGCACAAACAAACACCAAAAAGAACACAAGGTCAATGAAATCGGAAAAAGCACAAGTACCACCAGTCGAATCAAGATCAAAACTTTTAGATGCAACAAAACGCAGATTAGAACTTACATAGTTAAGGGCAGTGGATAACGATCGAATTGTCTGAAGAAAACGAATCAACAAATCAGAAAATTAGGCGACAAAAAAAGTAAATTTACAAATTTGTATTGAGGAATTGGGGATAAACCTGAGGGGATTGACGGAAAGCTTGACGGATCTCGAGCAACCGTTTGGATGCGAGACGAGCCAACATTTTGGTGCTCCGGTGTTGTTATTGTCGTTGGTGAAGAAGAAATGGGGAGGTTTTGGGGAAAAACAACGAACTCGAAGAGAGACCCCAAGACCGATGAATGGATTCTAATGTGTAGACGGATGTGCGTTCTACGCCAAGGGTTACTTTGTAAGCGTCGTTTGCACAAGCTTAAGCAAGTATGTAAGAGGGTTTGGATATGGAATTAGGCGTATGTTAGAAAAGTAGTATGTAATCTTTCCAAAAATCATTATGATAAAAAGATTGTAAAAACTAAAAACCATCTTTATATCAATTCTAATTGTTGATTTTATCGTTAAGGCATTCCCTCCCAACTCACTCAACCCACTTCCATATTAGTTTTTTTTTTTTTTTCATCTTTCTCAACACACAACACATGAAAATTCTATCTTTTTAACCCACTCAACTCACTCACTCAATTAAAAAAAATACAAAACAACTAAGGTATAAGTCTTAAAACACATGATACAAGAGAAAATGAAAGAGAGAAAGTACAGAGAGGGGATGAAAAGAGTTAGTGAAACCAATTAAACAACTCACCACTCCCAACTCACTAAAGAGGGAGTGGTATCTTGGAGGTACCAGCGGTAGCTCTATTGCCAATTAAGACTTGTACCTTAGTGTTTTTGTATTTTTTTTAATTGAGTGGGTTGAAAAATATATGGTTTCCGTGTGTTATGAGTTGGAAAAGATGAAGAAAAAAAAATTGATGTGGTAGTGGGTTGAGTGAGTTGGAAGGGAATGACTCCCTCCTCCCTTATAGCTTACGAGATTATGGCATATGTAAAATTAAATTTGTTTACGATTTGTAGACTTAAAAGTGTTGAAATTTAACAATCACATAATGATAAATACAATAGGAATTTATCAAGTATTTAAATTTTGAACCAAAATTTCACCATCATTGAGTATAATCTCTTAACTCACAAAACTAAATCAAATCAACTCATGCAAACCGTAAAAACATAAGAGGAGATGGTATGAGAGTAGGGTCGGCTCGAGACGAGAACAATAGGGTCCAGTACCATCGAGAACATTATTCT